TACAAAAGTGAGTAAACCTGTTGATTTTAAAGTGATTAGTTGCGTTTACTTAAAAAGGTGAATAAATCTGTTGCTTGTGAAATGGTTAGTGGACTTTAAAAAAGTGAGTAAAGTCATTGCTTTTAAAGTGATTAGTTGCGTTTACATTACAAAAGTGAGTAAACCTGTTGATTTTAAAGTGATTAGTTGCGTTTACATTACAAAAGTGAGTAAACCTGTTGCTTTTACAGCGTTTAGTTGAGTTTACATTACAAAAGTGAGTAAACCTGTTGATTTTAAAGTGATTAGTTGCGTTTACATTACAAAAGTGAGTAAACCTGTTGATTTTAAAGTGATTAGTTGCGTTTACTTAAAAAGGTGAATAAATCTGTTGCTTGTGAAATGGTTAGTGGACTTTAAAAAAGTGAGTAAAGTCGTTGCTTTTAAAGTAATCAGTTGAGTTTATTTTAGAAGAGAGTAATCCTGTTGCTTTCAAAGCATTTAGTATGCTTTCAGGTGAGTAAAGCTGTTGCTTTTAAAGCATTTAGTTAAGTTTACTTTTAGAAAGTGGTAAACTCATTGCTTGATAGTAATTAGCTGAGTTTACTTAAAAAGTGAGAAAACCCATTGCTTTTAAACAGAATATTTGAATTTAATTAAAATATTTTTTCTGTATGTTTTTAACCATTTTCTGCTTAGACAGTATATTTTGTGTTGTTATAAATAAAGAATAATCATGTTTTACACTCAAAGTGACTCTATGTAAAGTGAAGGATTTATTCATTTCCTTTTGCTAATACATGAAAAGCTTGTAAATAAACACAAGTTTTTCATTTATTTCCTATATGAAAGTTTATTGAAGGATTTTTATATAAAGCATTATGAACTAGAACAAACGTTGATGCCATTTACACCCCATACAAATCTGATATATGAAAATGTGTGCAAATTGCATATATATAAAACAAAAACTCATGGCAAAATGTGGTTAATAATTATTAGTGCATTTACAAATAATATGTCGCGACTGCAGTTCACTGAACGGCCACCGGTGTCACTAAAAACCAAGAGATTGCACATTTTGTTGACTAAAAGTTGCATTAAATACATGCCAATTAATTCTCATTTGAGTATTAGTAGACTGTCTGCTTAATATCTGTTAATATGCTCCTTTAACAGACATTTAACTGACTATAAGAAACTTTGCAAGTACATGTCAACTTACAATAACCTAACAGTCTACTTATAATCTAATGAGAACTAGTCGTAACTTAAATTCAAGAAAATGTATTAAAGAGACCATCAAAATAAAGTGATACACAGTTATAAATTACAATATAACTAAACATAATGCAAAAACATGTTTTCACTAGCCTATTATAGACTAAATTACTTATATTTTCCAACTTCACTTAAAGACTGAATGCTTGGTAAACTTCCTCCAGACCACAAAAGAAGCTTTTCACAATGAAAATCAAGATTTCACACCCAAACTTGTCCATAAACGTGTCTGAAGTTCCTGTGTGATGTCATCATATGAAAATATTTGCAAATTGCATGTATAACAAACACAAAATGTGGTTAATGATTATCACTAGTGCATTCACAAACAATATGTCACGACTGCGGCTCATTGAATGGCCACCGTGTCATTAAAAACAAGAGTTATGAACTACAATACAACTGCAAACATGTTTTTACTAGTCTATTATAAGAATAAATTACTGAAAGCTCTTTCAAGTTTCATTTTCAAGCTTCATCTAAAGACTAAATGCTTGGTAAACTTCCTACAGACCACAGAAGAAACTTTTAACAAAGAAAAATCAAGATTTCACATCCAAACTTGTCCCTAACGCGTCTGAAGTTCCTGTGTGGTGTTATTATATTATAACTGATGGCAATCCCAGACAAAGACAAGCCCACAAGACCAACAGAGATAAACTGGGCTTCTGAATCACCCACAGAATGACCAGGATGTGACACACACACATACACACATGCACATTTGTTTCCTTTCTGCTCGCCTTCATTTTGAGCTCATTGTTGTGGCTTTTCTGAAGGGTACGGCAGCAGTATTTACTGGTGAGTCAGCACACGCCTGCATGGGCAAAAGGGGCAGCTTGATCGGAAACACACACACACACACACTCATATTCACGCGGCTCCTCTGAGGCCTTGGTGTCTGAAGTCATCCAGAAGTCATGCATTAATAAAACACCCATTCAACATCCAAATGAAATCCCATTCACAAAGACGGCTGCTTATGGCTTGAGCTCATGAATCTGTCAGCATGCCTGTCGTAGTCTACTCTACGATGAGTGCAATACAAGACTGGAAAGTATATTTTGCAATGGAAAAATAAAATAAGAAAATAAAATAAGAATTAAGTAAATATAAAAAATAAATAAACTAAAATAAACTAGAAAATAAAAAAATGATGATAAAATAAAATAAAATAAAATGGACAATTAAGCACATATTCTTCCATTAAATCTATGATGAAAAAATTATAATTCAAACCTTTTATATTCTACTCTAAAATGATTGCAATTAAATAAAGCTAAATATTTTTTGCTAAGTCAAAATAAAATGAAAAATTTAATAATAATAATTAAAAAATCTGATTAATACATAAATAAAACAAAATTTTATATAATTTAATTGACAATTAAACATATTTTACTCCCACTAAAATCTATAATGAAAAAAAAATCACAAACCTGTCATATTCTATTGCAAAATGATTGCAATACAACATTCGAAAGTCTATTTTGCAATAGAGTTCAGATACAAAAAGCTATAAATGCCATCTGAAGTTCCCTTCTAAAATGAACACTTTTCTCAGCCTCCAATATTGTTATTCAGTTATTTCACTTTAAATGCAATGCAAAAAACTAATTGCTTGCCATAAAAGTGAATTTACTGAGCATATTACACACAGGAGCTTGTGAAAAAAGCTCATTTTAGAAGAAAATTTCAGATTGCATTTAGAGGTTTTTGCATCTTATTATATATATATATATATATATATAATTTAACAAACCTGTTATATTCTACTTTAAAATGATTGCAAAACAACGCTGGAAAGTTTATTTTGCAATGGAAAAAAATAAATGAATAAATAAATAAATAATTAAATAATATATAAAAGACAATTACACACATTTTACTTCCTCTAAAATCTATTATAAAAACAATATAATTTAACAAACCTGTTATATTCTACTCTAAAATAATTGGAATACAACACTGGAAAGTTATTTTGCAATAGGAAAAGCAACAACAACAACAACAACAACAATAATAATAATAATAATAATAATATCAATAATATCAATAATAAATAAATAAATAAATAAATAATAAATAAATAAATAAATAAAATAATATAATGAACAATTGCACACATTTTACTTCCACTAAAACCTATTGAAAAAATATATAATTTAACAAACCTGTTATATTCTACTCTATAATAATTGCAATTAAATATAGAAAAATATACTTTTCATTATAAAATAAAATTCAAACAAATTAAGGACAATTAAATGCATTTTACCCTCAACTTTTCATCATTATTATCTATTAAACAATCAGTCAAACAAAAAAATGAACAAAGAGACAAATAAATAAAAGCTCATTGTTTTCATGACTACATTTTACTCTTTAGTTTTAAACAGAAAAAAATCCTTTAAAAACCCTAAAGTTTTTATTACTGTAATGAAAAAGTATTCCCATTACTGTGATGCCTCCTAAAGATTACCATTTATTAAATTTTAACAATTAATTTTCTTATCATATGGTAATTTATGTGTTTTCTTAATATTTACAATTAAAATCGTGTTCAATTAAAACACAATTTGTGATGAATCATACATCATTTTTGTATTATGATGACATTTGTAGCTAAACATACTTTTGTGTCAGGAAAATAACATTATAATTGATAATATTTCCAAATAATTGCTTTGATTCTGACAGTCTGACAACAGTATTCAGAGATTTGTCACCCACTGAGTTTCTGAATTTAATTATCAATTTAATAATGAACTAAATCACTGGGCAACTGTGACTTTCCCATCTCATATTTCTGAAGACAGCTGCAAAATTAGCAGGACTTCAGCTGCTGAGCAATGGCAGAAAAACTGGTATATTTAGAGGTGACTCTATATGACAATATCACTGCTGTCTGAACAGTTGGAAAAACAAATGCGGCCCAAACCAAAAACTGCTGAACCTCTCCAGGCCTGTCCAAAACCTTTTAGCAAGATCAACTTAAAGCCAGTGCTCTATTATGAGGAGCTTAAAGTTCATAATAATGACACAAATCAAACATTCAAGCATATGAATATACAGCATCTAAAGTTCACTATTTACTTACATTTACTCAGTTGGTTCTAAACCTATGAATTACTTTGCTCTGTTAATTAAAATGTATATACACAGAACATTTCATTCAAAGCAGGACCAGATATTGTGAAGAATGTTAAAATTAGGCAGTCATTGTCATCTTTAGAAAGAAAAAATACTATGGAAGACAATCTCTGTTTTTCCAAACATTCTTCAGAATATCTTCCTATATGTTCAACAGAAAAAAAGAAACTCAAAGGGGTTTAGAACAAGTGGAGGAAGTGAAAATGGTGACAGAATGTTCATTTTTGGGTGACTGTCCCTTTAAGAGCATTTCTCAATAGGATGTCCCATGCATGTGCTTTAACTCTCCTGCACTTGGGTTCATTTTGTCAGTTAAATCTAAATTACACTTTTTAACTCAACAGCTGTGGATGTCCATATTCAACCCAACATTGTTTTAAAACAACCCAGCATTTTTTAAAGAAGCTGAATTGTGTTCACTTGGCCCCTATATGGACTCTGTCCAGCCGCGTGCAAATCCGGGCCCTTAAATATTTGCTGTTCTCATGCCAAGATATTCTGCTGCAATGAATCAGACCCCTCAGCAGCTCACTTCTCAGGCCTTTTCACAGTCAAAGCATCAGATTAATGAAAGCCAGTGTACTCACTTTCTCTTGTACTCATCTCTCTCCCGCTTGACTTTGGCCAGCACGTTATACAAGGCTCTCAGTTCTGGGGTGATGGTGTCGATTTGGACCCCCACCCCGTCCGGATGGGTCCAGGTGACCCCAGGGCCCTGGACAGTCTTCACGCGCTCTCCGTGCCTCAAAATATGCGTAAAACTCCAGATGGTGCCTGGAAGTCTGGACTCCAGAGAGTCTGTCTGTACGGCCACCTCACGCGTAAATGAGAATCCCGGATACCTCGGCTGACCAGTGGCTTGCTTCAGCTGGCTCTCCAGAAGTTTGTTTCGTCTCTCCAGCTCGTGGACCTTCGCTAAAAAGCAGCGGAACCTCAAGTTGAGGGTCTTCAACACATGAATGTTCGACCCCAAGTCATTGCGCAGCGCTCGGGGAACCGCGTCCGATGGCGCACCGCTCACCGCGCCTCCCAAAAAGCCCTCTCCAAACAACAACGAGCTCATGGTTTCGTTACAAAAATATACATAAATATATCAGCGAGCTTCAATAGCTACGATTCAGATCATTCAGAAGCTGGTGAGTCTTCTTCTCATGCGTGAAAACCCCTCAAGTGTCATCGATCGCGCAGAAACTAGCAATGCAGTCATTATCTGTCTATCCGTCCGGGACGCATCCTCTTCTCCATGGAAACCAGTTTGAATGATAATAACGGAGCGGCGCGTCTGAATGTCAGCTCATTCCTGAAACTCCGGGACATTTGGAGATTCTGAGCTTCAATGAACTCCAAACTGTCCCACTGCACTGACAGGCCTGTTATTATTCTCACGGTCTCTTCCGTTTGACTGTTTTATACCGGGCGCTGCCGGCGGCGCGACGGGATCGAGTTTCATACTCCTCTAAAAGAGGGAGATCCGCAGCGCGCGCTCTCCGCCCCGGGACGCGGACACGCGCATTCGTGCACAGAGGAGGGAGTGCAGGAATTTGGCAACATCGCCCCCCTCAAACAAACTCCAGCACCTTTTATATATATTTTGACTTCACAGACTAAAAGCACACAAACAGAAAAAAGGACATCCAAAATGTGTCAGGATGTCTAATATACATTTGTAAATGTAAATAATATTAATCTACTTATTGATTTGTAATCTAATAAAGCTGTTAAATAATAAACAATTAATGATTTATAGTCTAATAATTAATTGACATATTATTTATGAATCCTAATGATAAAATATTTATTTTATAATACTTGTCCATGAATACATTACTTATTCATTTATATTTATTAGTAATGTGCAAAAATCATCGTGATTAACTGTATCCAAATTAAAAGTTTGTTTTGGCATAATATATGAGTGTGCATTATATATATATATATATATATATATATATATATATATATATATATATATATATATATATATATATATATATATATATATATATATATATATATATATATATAAATATATATATATTTATTAATTTTTTAAAAATATATATATAAATATATATATATATATATATATATATATATATATATATATATATATATATATATATATATATATATATATTTATATATATATATATTTTTTTTTTTATTTTTATATATATTTATAAATATATATATATATATATATATATATATTTATT